TCTATCTTTTTAAATTAATATGTATATCTGTAATTAATTTATCATCATATCTTGTGTGCAAATGTACGGCGAGAATATCGCAATCAAAGAATGTAAGTAAAAAGATTTCTCTGTAGGCGAATAAAAATATAATTTAAAAAATTTTGTTTTTGTAAGATTAAATATCATATTTTTTCTGTTAAGAATTTAATATTCTTATTCAGAGTTGTTACCTATCTCTCTTTTTTCTATTTTTTTCTCGATATAATGGCGTGAAATAAACACTAAATGTGTAATACAAAAAAGAAGATGTTTTGAATACACATATCTAAATACCATTATAATATAATACTAAGGTTTCTAATTCTTTAACTTTGTGAAGAATAAATCGTCAGTTACAAATAGAAAACAATTATTATTTCTCAATTCTCACAAAGACAGATAAATGGATGAGGGATAAACGGAGAAACAGAATTTTTTCAGAAAACATATAGTACCTCCTTATTAATATATAATTAATATTTAATTTATTTATTAATGTATAATAGCTTCTTATTAACACTTAATAAATAATGTAATAATCAATGCACTAATAATTTCGACAATTATCAACGACTATAAGTTAATATTTCGTTGCCAACAAATTTAATTATTTTTTGCTGCTCCATTTTTTCGTTACATTTCTTTTCTCCAGATACTTTGAGATACATTCGCGTTTGTTTTTTGGCTCGAATCATCTTCTCAAATTGCGATCAATAGATAGCCGTCAAGACGGCGCCAAAACGCGCACTTTTATCCTACGTTGCTATAGTTTCCCGTAATTGGTGCGATTGTCTTGGATAAATATTGAAATAACACAAGTAGTACTAATATAAATGCTTTTTTCTTCTTTCACGCCTTATTATTTAAGCATGACAAGTCTAATGATCCCGCAGAAATAATCCCAGTAAATAAAAATAGATTGAAATGAATTTGACTCCGTAGAAAATGTATTTCTGTTCCTTAATACGAATAGAACTAGCTTAATGCTTCTTATTATTTATAATTTTAAATAAGTTGGACCCATTTTTATAAATAAAAACTTTTTTTGGATTCAGAAGAATTAAAACAATGCATTTCCTATTCACAATTTTGAAATGAGTAGCATCTATTTCCACGGAAAATAATTTTTTTTGGATTCAATTAGATTTAAAAAAATTGCATTTGCTATATGCATTGCAGAATTTTGAATTGACCAATATTCACGATCCACTTTTTTAAATTGAACTTATTTCTGGATTGAAAGGCTTAAAAAATTTGCTTCATGCAATTCCCTATAAATGAATACAAAAGCATTATTTACAAGGGAATCTCACGAAGTGTCAAATTCTGATTTTAATGAAACTTGGTACACTTTGAGGTCACATAAATAGATGAATTTAGAAATTATCAGTTGGTGCTAAAAAACGGTTTAAAAGGATGAACCACCCCTTATATGTAAATTAATTTTTTTTTCTTTTGTTATATCTCGAAAACTCAAGATATCAAAAAATATTTTATACAAAAGTTTTACTGTAAAATTACTTCTATTCATTTACGTTAATAGAATTTTTTTTAATGATTATTTTCAAAAAATTTTTAAAATATAATTATTAAAAAAAATATTATTAACGTAAATGAATAAAAACAATTTTACTGTAAAACTTTTGTATATAACATTTTTTGATATCTTGAATAATTTTCGAAATATAACGAAAGAGAAAAAGAATTAATTTACATATAAGGGGTAGATTAATCTCTTTAAACCGTTTTTTAGCATCAACTGATAACTTCTAAATTCATTTATTTATGTGACCTCAAAGTGTACCAAGTTTCATTAAAATCAGAATTTGACACTTCACAAAGTTCCCTTTTTAGGCATTGAAATGAATTTAGATTTTCAGAAGTTTACAAACATTAAAATGAATTCTTTTCAATCCATTTTAATCCATTTTTGTTTTCTAGGATAAGAAGTATAAGAACACAAGCACATGTAACTTTCGTTCTCCGAAAAATAGAAACTTTTTATTAAATCGCTCATGACACATGTAACCGTTTTTGCAGTTTTGCAAATCAACTTTTGATGAAATAGAATATAAATTAAAGTAGCTTATCTCAAAAAGATTGGAACTTAAAAGCTTGTGAACGAAGATACATATATTTCACAGAGCCAGAGTATTTATGTTATTTTAATGCATGCAGTATTGTTGCATTTCTATTAACTTATATATTGGATGGGTTAATAAAAAATTAAATAAATTGATATTATTAAAATTTTTTGTATTATTTTTTGAGTAAAACTAAGATTTACTCAGAAAATAATACAAAAATTCATACTTGAATTAACAAATGTAATTGATTCCTTCTTGCAGTTTAATTTAAGTGAACATCCACACGCAGTTTATTAATCTATATATATGAGTATGGATGTAATCTATCATGTTTATGAATGAGCACTAAGTCACTAATAACATTGTCATCGCAAACCTAGCCGTAACGATTTATAATTTCTAATCGAATATTCAAGGAAAATATTTCTTCTTAAAAAATACAATTATTAACGGAATTTTTTTTATGTAATTAAATTAAAGATACGGAAAATAATATTTAAAAGAAGTTCATGCATTTTAGGCGATTTGGGAAGCACACGGGGAACGTTGGATTTATCTTTTTTTTATTCAATTTCATGACTATAGGATAAAAAGTATAAAAACACAATGAAACTTTCGTTCTCCGAAAAATAGAAACTTTTTATTAAATCGCTCATGACATAATTTGCTGAATCCGAAAATTAAAATTGTTCTAGTATTCGGGAAATATTTTTTTTCACATTTTAAACAGAAAAAAGCAACAGATGATTTTATCATTTTGTTAAAACATGTCTGCGAATTTTTCTTTGTTTTTATAAAAATATGTTTTAATGTTATTTAAACCCTCATTCTATCTCATCAGGGCTTGATAATCTACAACCTACCTTAAGTTTATGTATACATTTTAATTATTGCTTTGTCATAAAGTATAAAAGATGCGGAAAAATATTTAAAATAAAAAAATGATACGGTCTGAATTAAAGGGAACATAAAATGTTCCCCGGAAATAATAATAAAAATAATTAGAAAAAATTAATTTTTCAAGGTCATACAAAAAGTCTATATCATTATTTTTTATATCAAATTATATAATTTTTATATAGTATAATATACCTTTAATTATTCTGCATATAAAAATATTAAGATGAAACTATCGAAAATTCAATAGTTTACGAGTTATTTTATATTTTATATTTTATTATGACCCTATATTTTGACATAAAATATATATCTCATAAGCTATTGATTTCTTAATAATTGCATCTTAATACTTTTATGCAAAAAATAATTAGATATGGATTGATTGGAGTGAAACACTCAGTTGTTTTTAAAAAAGTATGCAATTTGCAATATAGAACAAGGTATTTTTTTTACAATTACCAAGAAATCAATAATTTATGAGATATTTCATATTTTAAGCGATGTCGAAATATGGCATAAAGTATAAAATATCTCGTAAACTATTGTATTTTTAATAGTTTTACCATAATACTTTTATATACAGAATAATAAAAGAAATATATTATACTATGTAAAAAAAAATATACCATACACGAGCTAAATTCGACTTCTTATATTTTGCAAAAATAAATATATTATAAATAAATATTTTTTTTAATTAATACCTCACTCGCTAAAAATTAAAACTGTAACAATTTTTTTATTTTTGTTAATAAAAAATTGGCAATAAAAAATAAATAGTAATTTTTAACAAAATATACTTTTTCAAACATTTGAAAAATTAAACTAAA